AGAAATGAATGTATTTATATTAATAAAAAATAAAATATGGTAATAAATCATATAATGATCAATTTAAGAATGAATTAAAAAAGAAAAATGTGTTTTTGTTTATAAAATCTCTAAAATAACTAACGACCTGTTGATTCGAGTGAAAAAAACTCGGTTCTCCTTTGATAAGGTCTCGAGTTCGAGTCTTATGAATGGAGAAACTGGTGCTGGGAGAACTTTCCCTTTAAATGGGGTTCGACACTGCTCGATTCTAAATTAGTTGGATTCCAATGTGGTTACTGGATACTGGAAGGTTAATATAAAAAAAAAAAATCTCTAAAAAATTAGGAGAAAAAATCACAAAATTATATTGTTTCAAAGAAAAGTGTAAATTTAAAGTTGATTAAATAAATAATCAAAGTTTTCTTTTTTAGACTTTATAGAATATTAAGATTGAAAATAAAAATACTAAAGAAAAAAGTAAATTATTATATGGAATATTAAGAGAGAAAATAAAAAAATGCTAAAGAAAAGTGTAAATTTAAAGTTGATTAAATAAAGAATTAAAGTTTGCTTTTTTGAGTTTAATAGATAAGGAAATGTTTAAGAACCCGAAATTCTTAATTAATTAAATTCTCCTCAAGTTCATTTTATTTAAATCATATCCTTATCTTTTGAAAATTTTTTATTTAGATCATAAATATTCTCTCTACATTTAAAATGATTCTTAAAATCCATACTATAAAAACAAAATTTTTAACAAATAAAAGTTAGAGTACCATATTAATTATTTTTCAAAAGATTGGGGGGGTGGCTGCCCCCCCTTGTCCTTCATTGGCTCCTTCTCTGCTCCCATCGATCTCCTCTGTTTGTCTGTGTATTTCGGTGAGACTGTTAAGATATAAACACATTTATTATAAATATTTTATATTTTAAAATATATTTTTACATATTTTTTATTTTTAAATAATTTGTTTTTAAATTCATATATATAAATTATTGTATATACAATATTAATTAAAAAAATAATAATTTTTTTAAAAATTATTATTCTTTTTTTCTGTTTCTAATATGGTATTAAAATTATAAACTCTTGATTCTTTTCTTTTATTATTGCCATTTGGTTTTTGGAGTTGGATTTTCAAATCCATTTAAGATCTGAGACTGTCCTTGGATCTCTTCTTTTATCGATTAAATTGTTTATTCTCAATTTTTAGATCCTTTTGAGGTATTTCTTTAGTCTGTTACTTCGATCTTAGTATTTATTTCTTCATATTTTTAAAGTGTTTCAATATTGTGAGTTTTACTAATTCTATGACGAGTTTTGAATGGATTGTAACTCATTCTACTACTACTATAATTGCCAAAGAAGTGATAGACCAACCTAATGTCAACATTGAATTCCTAAAATAGATGCTATTAAATATTAGTATTTTGATTCTAGTTATTGTAATCATATGCCTTTAATTATTGTTCATTTCTCTTCAATATCATCAAATAATTCCTTTCTTAATATTTATTCTGCTAATGATTCCATGTAAATGTTAGTTACATTAGCAAAATTTCCACAAAGTCATTGATTTTACCAAGTGCCTTCTTAGTTCCAAATTTTAGTTTTAATCTTCTATCTATTGGTCAATTATGTGATCTTGGTTTTGAAGTAACATTTTTTGTTCATGGTTGTCATATATAGGACCCACGAACAAGACAACTTCTTTGAACAAGTCGCAAGGTGGGGTGCTTGTTTGAGCTCAACTATCTACATATTCCTAATTATGAAATGGATACACCATCATTTTCAAATGATAGAGTCATCCAAACTTTACTTTGTGCTGTTGAATTAGAGTCTTTGCAAATTCTATACTAACAAATCTTCCAAGCTTATGCTGCAACTAACATTTCTCCTCTTTATTTGCGGCACTCATGGCTCGAACATACCTTAGTTGATAAATTTTGTGCACTTATCTCTCGTGGTTTATTAAGATCTATTCCAAATGAATCTTTGCATTGTGTGTCATCATGTCAATTTACAAAACAACTAGCTTTATCTTTTTCTAGTAGTCATTCTCTTTCTACTGCTTCTTTTGATCTCATGCATTCTGATATTTGGGTCCATCTCTAAAACCTACCATGGGAGATTTTAGATACTTTATGTTATTTATTGATGATTATATTCATTTTACCTAAATATATCTTATGAAAAATCGCTTTGAGTTACCACAAATTAGTTTAAATTTATTACTATTTTTTAGATGAAAATACGATTATCTTTAAAAATTAGATAAAAATTGAACATTCCTTCTGTTCCAAAATAATTATCTTTTTTATTTTAAATTTATCTCAAATTAATTGTTGTCATAACTCAAATTTTAGTAGAATTTTATTTTATTTTTATTTTAACTAATATGTTTTGTTTTTGTTTTACTTGTTAGGTTCATAAAAAAAAAAAATGAGGGGCAAAAAGAAGTTGGAAAATTCAAGAAGAAGAAAGAAAGGACTCAATTGAAGAAATTAAAAATTGGAGGATTGAAGTTCATCAAAATGAATTTACAAACCCAAACCCAAAGCCCATCAAGCCCAAACCAAAATTACCCAAAAAACCCAAACCCAAAACACGTTTAACCCAAACCCAAAAAAAAAAAAAGAGGGTGTCTGGAACCTTCTTTTTCCCCATGAATTTGTTTTTTTTCCGAACCAGCCCGCGCCCTGCGCCTCACGCCCTGCTCCTCACGCCCCGAACCCAGGTCCCCTGCACCAGCCTGCGCCCTTGCTCCCTGCTCTGCGCCCGACGTGCCTCCTGCGCCCAGATCCCGCGCAATCATCACTCCTGCACCTGCTGCTGCGCTGAGCTCAGATCCTCTGCCATGCACGCTGCGTCACACCCCTGGCCTCTGCGCGCCTGAGCCTGCACTCTTCCCTCTGCGCGCCTGATCCTGCAATCACGCCCCTGTGGCTTGCACGCCAGCCACTGCTGCTGCACGGTGCCTGCTCTCCTGCACAAGAAACAAACAAAAAAAAAAGGGCTTTCGGTCCTTTGCTTTTTAGCCTGCAGAAATCAGCAGCTGTACTTGGAGGATCAAGGAAAAAAGAAAAAGAAGGAAGATCAAAGGGCTCCGGAGTTTGAAAATTTATTTATGTGCTTGTTTGTCTCTGGGGTATATATAGATATATAGAGCAAAAGATCAGAGGGGAGGAGGGTGGTAGAGAGAGAGAGAAATTCAAAAAAAAAAAATGGAGATCTGGTTTTGAGAGGGAGAAGAGAAACTGAAAAATTGAAAGGAAAAGATCTGGGTTTCTGGGGGGTTCTTTGGTTTTGACTTTTGGTGTTGACGGCAAAGAAAAGAGAGGGATTTCGGCTAGAAGGAAGCAGCAGCTTGAGAGGAGATCGTTAAGCTCTTAAAGGAGTGACTGTTTTTGGAAGCTGCGTTTCTGGATTTATCTTTGCTTTAGGTATTTTTCTTCAACAGAGGAGTTCTTTCGGGGAGGCAGTGAGGGGAATGATCTGGGCTTGATCCCGTGGGTGGGATCCCCCAGATCGGACTCCGATCTGTTACCCAGGAAAGCTCCGCCGTGTTCGTTTCTTTTATCCTCCTGTTTCTGTTATCTGCTTTCATGATGTTAAGTTTGTATATGTTTATCTGAACATGAATGAGAATCTAGGTTTAACTAAGTTATTGTGTTTTGATGAATTTTCTCTTTCTTTGCTGTTGGCGAATATGATTTTCTCATGACAAACCGTGTTCTTTCTTTTAAGAGTGATGAACTTTAACTGCAAGTCTCCTTCGCCATGTTTGATCTATTTTGGTTTATTTTGAGCAGCGGGTCGTGTTTCTGGGTTGGATCAACCC